TCAGCGCACGGCACAAAGATCAGCGCACGGCACAAAGATCAGCGCACCACGCGACCTGGCCGTTTGTTTTGTTGTTGTTTTAAACCTCGACCAACTTCGGATGAGAAGAAAACCAGCTCTGAATTCAGAAATTCAAACGTATGCCAACAAAGATGAACGTCACGGGAAACCAGTCTCTCATTTTACATCAACACTGGAGGAGATGGCAGCGTGCTCTGACAAGGGGCACTGCGTCTTCATGACATTCTCAGTAGAGGCTCTAGGAGGCTAAGGGGATTTTCTCTCTGTATATTTTAAGTCTCTTCTCTCACAACAGAGGCTTCTTATTCTCAGTCCTAAATTACTTTAAAACTATTTAAATAATATTATTTATTAGGCATTTAGATAAAATATCTTTAAAAAAAAATGATTGCTCTAGGAAACACAACAGGGGCACAATGATATGGATACTCAACCAAGCTGACAGCACCCCGCTCCATCCAACGTCTGCCTGCAGGATATGCATGCTCCTGTTGCGTTTGTATCAAATAAAAACAAACCTCAGCAAAGAAACTGATAAAATCAATCTCATAAATAGGAAATACTCGGTTGTTTTCCTGACAGCAAACCACCTCTATGTATTTTACCTTATGATGTAGAGAGAGCAAGCTTGGAGAATGACACGCGAGTGCTGCTAAGGGCTGAGGATGCTGGGGGGTGGAAGCCTGTCTGTGACAGCCGGGTTAGGATTGGGATGCACTGCAGTGCCTCGCTGCTGCCAACCAGTAAGGATGGCCAATGGCACCAACACGGCACCAGCAGCAACGGCCGGAGCCCGGGAGCAGCTCCTGAACGCTGGCAGCCTGCGAGCACAAACCAGTCATGTTTTGCCTTACAACCTTTATTTCCAAGCCCACAACCAACCGCGCTGCCAGAGCCAACCCAGGCAGGCTTGTTTTGGGAACCTGAGTTCTCTACGCTACCGCTCGCCTGCGCTCATTGGATGGGCCAACGACCTCCAGATGCACAATGAGAATTTCTATTGCACAAAGACGTAATGCACAGTGCTTGAAGTGCTCATCAGCAAGGGGACAACTCATCAGCAGGGGGACAAGGAGTGCTGGGCCGTGAATCGCTCCTCGGTTGGCGTTTCCCTTCCCGCACTAAACGACAAGCAGGAGGCTGCGAATGCTGCAATCGAGATCACTGTGCTTTAGATTATTCTCCACGAAGAGATTTAGAAAATAAGGCACATAGCTTTCCAAGTATAGAAAGTTTGTTCAAGAGAGAATTTTAGGAAAGTAGCAAGAACTGAAAACTCAATGGGAAATGTGGTAGCGTACAGAATCCAGACGATACGCCTACAGAATCCAAACAAAGCATTCCAAACTAAACTAAACTCTTCTCATCCCCACTCCCTGCAGGTGGAAGGAACTGGAAGCCCTGATGGAGGACAACAGGACACAGAGGTGACCATGCCGACCGCCCGCATGCTGCCCCTCGAGCCGGAGCTCGGGTACCGCTGTGCAGCAGTGCAAGCATCCCGAGGTAACCAGGTACTTTGGAAACACTTTTAAAGCTAGTAATAATTTACTCACATCGATCATACGTCAAAGTGGTAGGAGGGTTCTAAGGGAAGCTAACAAAAGCCAGGGGAGTCTGACTGAGGGAGTGATTGTAGGGAAAATTTTCGTTGCTTGGGGATAGATTGTACTTCAGAGCAAGTCAAGTGCCAAGTTTTACTTCTCTTCCAAACACAGACGTGTGCCTCTGGGAGGGACGGTGCAAGAGAATTTCAGGTTCATTCCAAAGAGTATTTGAATATTCAGCTCAGAGAGAGCAAGAACGAGCCGTGTGCTCGTATTTGTTACTCGGCTTCATGGACATACTGGCTGTTTTTGCAGTTGTCTAAATACATGGCAAAACTCTTCACCTTCCCACTGTACACAGATACAGAAAAATACACATGACTTGTGCAAGTGTCCAGCATATGAATTTCCTGCAGGCTGTACTAAAGGGGGATTTTGCAGAGATGGATTGACTCCTGATTTTGAACCACCCAGCTCTGGCACATCTGAGACCCTTGGCATTATTTTTATGTATTCTGAACATGATCTTTCCCCTACCAGGTTAGCTAAACCCGCAGAAATCTGACCTCTCCAGTAGATAATTCTGCATTTACAGCATGAAACATGTCTGACTAATGGGAAAACAGCATCCTATGCATTATAATACAGATCGGTTTTCTGCCTCCGCTCACCTGTGCCCCAAATGACTTCACATATCTGGCTGCAGCAGTTCTACTGATGCCAAGCATGAAAATGCTACACATACAGAGGGGTTTTCCCCCTATGGAAACATGGACATGTAGTCACTGAACTCCTAAAAATGTGTATTCATTACCCGCATAGACGGAAGACGGCAATGCAACTCAACACTGCTCTTCTTGTTACCAACAGAGGGCTGTGCTGCTATGAACATCACTACACATCACACAGTAACCACGTCACCAGCAGCTCCGTCACCCACAAGCAGGAATTCCTGGCCCTCTCCACTCCCATGGGTCTTTGGATGAGTTCTGTACCACGTCATTCAAGTAGCTCTATGAACAAAACTCAAAGACGTGACGTCACGGGGGCTGCAGGCACCCACTGCATCCTGCTCTGTTTTGCTGTGGTTAAGAATTTAACCTGTACACGGCTGTTTCAACAAACAGAAGCAGTGCCATAAAACCAACAGCTTTAGTGTTACCTAATCTACAGAACTGTGACAAAACTCCTCTCCTGGCATCAACATGAATAAAGCAAGCGTGAACGATGGCAGAAACTGTCCTTTGTGGAATAGCTGGACAAGGGAAAATACAATAATCTCATTAATTTTTAAAAAGCAGACGTTTCATTTTAAAGCACTTTTGTGCCTGAGCATCTGTGACCAGCAACGAAAAACCAACAACCGGGCGTCAGATCTTATTTAAATTTCATTCACAAAACAGCTGCAGAAACGCAAACTTCCCTGGGCAGGCAGGGCTGCCACGTGGGGGGTTTGGGGAAAGCAGGCGTGCAGCCCGGCTGGGTCTTCGGCTGCACCAGAGGCTCTCACTGCTAACGCTGCAATGAATGACTTCCTCCTGCTGGGAAACGAGCTTCCATCCAGCAACTGCATCACACACACCACAGAACTGCTCGACCTGGGGGAAATCATCCCTGAGGAGGAGATGGCGCCACTCACACACCTGTTTTTAAGGCTTTTTTGGAAACTCAAGTGCACAGCCTAATGCTAACCTTCTCCAAAAGGATAAACCTCACCTTTGGAGCAGAGAAACTCGATATCCTTGCATATTCACAGGGCAGGGTATAGGACATGACCTGGTCATGTAGGACAGATCACTCCCTAGGCATAGCACAAAGGGCTTGTCTCGCTTTAAAGATCATTATTACCTATATTTTACATATGGCATACTCAATACATCCTGCAAAAGGGATGGGGAGGAAAGAATTAATTCATGAAATAATATTTCTACATGTCAAAGCTCAAATGCATACAGGGAAAGAGACACGGACCACTCGGTCACTTCTTCAACTAAGAAAGCTGAGTGTCAGAAAACAAGATTTTGTGCTTTAAAAGCCAGTGATTGCAATTTAAAACCATCTGGCAAGATTTTTAAACAGCTGGAAAAAAAAAATACTTTGCTCAAACAGAATCTTTAAATTCTCTATTTAAAAAAGAAAGAAAAAGCTGATTGTATATGCAACGCAAAGGAAGAAAATGCTGATGTTCCAACAGTGGGGCAGCAGAAAGTGCAAGGGGGACGCAGCAGGCAACATATGGGTGAGCTGAACTGGCATTCCATCCATGTGAGCCACACTGAGCGCTAAGAGATGTAAGCAGCTTGTGAAATCAAGTTCCCCCACCGAAGAACCAACTTCTCTCTTCCTCCCATGTTTCTGATAGCCCCAAGGAGCACTCAGCACAGGGCTCAGCCACACAGCAGCTCCAAGACAGGAAACATTCCAGGATACGTACACTGATGAAGAAGTAATAAGAGAGCGCTTAAGATTTGTGTTAGAAAGACACAAAGGAAGCAAAAACAGTGCCCTCCATGTGCACACAACAGATCCCTAAGTGAGAGTACTGCTCTCTCTGCACCTTGCTAAAGGCACTGCTCTGCCTCACTGCAGCGTTTCGGAGTTGGACTCGATGATCCCTGGGGGTCCCTTCCAACTCAGGATGTTCCAAGACTCTATGATTTCAGTTCAAATAAACTGGTTTGGATTTAAGTGCAAAGAAATGTTCAAAACCAAAGAATTTTTTCAGGTTTCCCTCAGCCCTACTTTACGTAAATGTATCACCTCCATAGTTGGAGCTGCCGCCAGAGCGATGCTCTTGTTAGCTCGCTATTTCTCCAATTAAACAGCTGAAAAACAGCCACTCTTCAGTAACTGCACAGAGAATATTGCATAGAATTCTGCCATGTTCATTAAGCCCCTTCTCTTCACCATTCCCACATGAACAAGTTAGAAACAATGCAAGGATCTTTCACCTCATGAGAAAGGCACGTGTATCTTCTTCTCTTTAACTGTACGGTAAGATTTTCTTATTGCAGCAAGGAGCTCTTACTAAAGGATTCACTAATTCACAGCACGGACAGAATGCACTGACAGAAGTTCCTTTAAGGAGTGGCTCTACTTGTAGACATTTTTCAGATGAATAAATAAAATGGTCATATTTTACAGCATCAACAGCAACTTTAATTAGAGATATTTCTGCCAATTACAGCCTGAAGTCTGTATCCTCAAAGCCGGAAGCATACTGACAATCCCATGCATGACCCCTCTCCAAGCAATACTCTTTCCTAGCTTTCATCTAAGCAAAGTAATGGACCTTCCTCCTTCCCCAGCCATCCAGAGAGAAAAACAACAAGTTTCGCTGCAGTGGAAAGCTATTTTGGATACAAGAGCCCGGGCCCTTCACCCACAGCTTCGTAACAACACGGAATTGGAAACGGAAAGAGAAAATAAAAGTATTTTTAAAGAACCCCCAGATAAAACCAGACTGTGGGACTGCAGGTCTCCTGCAGTCTGTGCTTTCATCCGCTGGGTAAGAAACGTGGGCAGCGAGAGCCCCGTCCCCAGGCTCCGTGCTCTACAAAGCCATCGTGCCATGGGACAGCCCCCACCCCATGTCCCTAAGTGCCTCCTCTCGCCTTATTGTGACTGAAGAACACAAAAGCCCCAGTGCTACTCTTTGGCATGTCCTCTCCTACAGCTTTTTTATGCTCTGCTGTTCATCAAGTAAAAAACCAACCCCAATATACATTGTCCTAGAAGCGTTACCTTCAAGTGCCACACTAGATAAGAAATATAGCTAACACCTTTCAGTGCTGCTGAAGTTTAGTCTCCAAACCAGGGAGGTATGGGACTGTTTGGAAAGCCAGTAGGTGGCTCATCTCCAACAAGAGAATCTCAGCAGTAGTTCAAGCTGATCCATTTTACTTTCCACCGGAACAGAAAAGCAGCTGCAATGTTGGCTAAAAGCAGGGAACCAAAAGCTGGGCACATCACTTGTGCTCTATGAGCGCGGCCGGGCGGCGTGGGTCTGCCGTGCCCCTACACAACCTGGTCACAAAGGGACCGCAGTGACGCCCGGCCGGGGCACCCCAGAGCATCTCAGCAGGCAAATCCACATTCATTGCAGATCATTACATACGAAACAACAAAAGGAGCTAAGTCATTAATAAAGTGCCAAAAATATCGGAAATACTGACAGCATTTTTATTTGATTAATTTTTCAATAGATACCAGTGACAACCCTTGGCAGGATGGAGTGACTTCTGACTTAGGAATGCTGTCTTTATCCAGCGAAATTACATGATTCAAATGTAATAATGGAGCTCAGAATTAACAGTTAGTGTTATAAAAGAAACATTTCCTCTAGGGCAAGCTACAGATATGCTTTTAGAAACCATCATAGCATTAAAAATCGGGCTGACACTGAAGAACCCTAAAGAACTAGTGGGAGTCTGAAAAGCAACCAAAAAACGAACAGGAAAATAAAAGATACAAGTTTCAAGGCACTTACGTATTGCTTATTAAGAAGAGAGATTGACCTTAAATGCTGCATTTGTGTTCAACCTGTGAATACAGTTCTGCTGTCGGATGATGCAGCAAGAGCTCTCAGTAAGCTTTATGGAATGCAATTATAGAGACACAGGCACAAGAACAGTTTGGGGAATATTAATTTAAAAAAAAAAAATCAAACAGAACAAAACCCTCCCTATCGAGAAAGCCGAGTAACCGCTTGGCTGCATCAAGCACCTGGATCTCCAATCAGCAGACAAGGACAGCAGAACCAGACTGGCAAACGGATTGCCCAGAATTAATTAAAAAACCCAACCTGAACCAAACAACAACAACAACAATAAAAAAAAAAAAGAAGAAAATACGTGTGTCTTCCTGTCAGAAGCTTTGCTCCGCGGCTGAAGACACACCTGGTTGTGACTCGTAGTAAGGTATGTGTACTTCTACCAGGACGTGCATGGACAGACGGAGCTGTGCTTTGTAAGTCAAACCTGCACAGGTACAGAGAGGTACGGCTCTGCTTCACCACGTTCCTCCCCTCGCTGGCCTTTCCTGGGGGCTAACTGTGCTCGGGCAAGAAGCTGGAGCTGCCAGCACTGTCACACGCCGCTGTTTGTATTACAAACCATCTCCTCAGCTCATCACAGAAAGGGGCAGTTGCTCTCTCTGTTCCTCAGTTTGAGTTCTGCATCACAAGTCCCCAGCTACCCAAGGAGGTATCCTGAAACAGCTAGCAGTAGAAATAGGAAACGAGTCCCTGCCTTTCAGCCTCCTAGAGCCTTCTTCCCTCGATCATGAAAAGGATTGGTTTTAGTGTACTGATTCTCAATTTGTGACACTTGCACTACGTGCTGCTGTTGCATGTTAAGAGACTGTAAATGAAATACATACGTTCTAAAACATCATGCAAGAAATGTGGTTTCACATCTTACAGTCAAAAATCCTACTAATGAATTAATACAAGCACACTGAGGTGTAATATTGGGAACATACCTTTAAAGTCGGAACTCCTCTCCCCGTCCCTCCCTCCCCCAAAATCAGAAAAGTAATATTAATTAAACTTAAGAAGTAATGAATGCACCATTAAAGTGTCATCAAAAAGATGCTGACCTAAGACAAAAGTTCAATGATACACAATACGGTCAAAAAGTCTTCAATCAATAATATACAGTATGACAACTACATCTTGTAAATTATACCCAATACTGCCGGCAGTCTATCCCTCTAAAGAATATTTGCCCCCTTTCATCCCTTCCTAACAATCAGATAATAAAATACAGCACCTATAAATAAGCAAAAAAAAATTATATATATATATATTTATATATATATATATATTCCGAAATCATCTATTGTTAGTTTTAAAGATATGGCAATAAAGGAGTCTAAATTAGCAAACTTGTAGAAGCCATAACTGATAAAACAGCTTATTGAAAAAAGGTGGCAGTAATGCACTCTATGTGTGCACAAGTACGTAAGAAAATACACAGACGTATAAAATTGCACGCACACACTCACGCACACACATCCTTCCACGCACCTCTATGCTCACGCATATACATATAGACAACAGGAGGAGTTAGAGACAAGTTAGAATTTGATTTGTACTTTGATCAGCCCTAACCTGTGCATAAAATAATGGCGAAAGGCTGCATTTCTGCGGGGCAGAACGGGCGAGACTGGGACTGGAGAGCATCAACGTTTTGGTTTGGAGTTTGGGCTCCTTCGGCCCTGCTAAGAGCCTGTCTGGTCATTGCCATGTACTATTCCTCCACGTAAAAACAAGCTTCCCACAACTAAAACATTTAAAATCAGTGCTTGCGGTGGGAAGAGAGTCAGTAAATGGCCACCTACAGCAGGAAAACTTCTCCATCTGAGGCAGCTCCCGTCCCCTTAGTGGTGTGACAGCAGTCGTACACATGAACTACGCTTCCCTCGGTTCCAGGTAAGGTGAACAGCTCGGGTCACGGAGCGTGTCCCCGAAGAAGCAGGCTGAAATGTTACTGGCCAACGTTTTCTGAGCAATCTGACTTGGCTGAAAGGAAATCCTGTACGCTACGACCCAAGTGAAATGATCAAGTACATGCTGTTTCTAAGTTGTCTCCCAAACCTCCCAGATATGAGGTCTGATCAGCGTGCTCTGTGGTTAGAGGTTAAAAAGCAGATTATAAAATACCTAGATTCAGATTTTTTTTTTTTTGTCCTGATTTGGCCTAAAATGGAGTGTATTAAACAAATTCTGGTCTGCAAAAGACCAGAATCAGTTAAAGCTATGAAACAATGTGCACTACGTGTCAATATTCTATTTCACTTACAAGAAAACACTAAGTCAGCTACCACAAATTAAGATATTTTCCTGATGTGACTTTTTTTTTTCTGTTTTGTTAAAAAATATGTGGAGTAAATGTGTTTTTTTCTTTTTAATTCAAAGTTTCAAACAACAAGATTCTTTTCTTTTCTTGAAAATACGTAGGAATCCAAACTAGTGTGTTTAGAGTCGGTTGACTGTGCAATCTCTTAGTGGCAACTGAACAGCTACAAAAAACTTTCTTTTTTTTTTCTTTTTTTTTTTGAAAAATCTCCCCTTTTTTCCTGGTTTAAGAAGATAATAGTGTATTATCGCTCTGTAGCCATTAGATGGCAGATAAAAAGCCCCCTTTTAATACGTGGGTTCGATTTTTTTTTTTTTTAAAACGTTTTTTTTCTTTTTTTTCTTTTTTTTTTTTTTTAAAGCCCACACCAAAGAGGAGGGCACAAGGCAAAGCTGTATGAGTTATTCCAGAAACCGTGGAAATCACTTAGGGCAATAATAAAAACACTTCAGGGTACAAAAAAGCTCGACTACACATTTCAGTTTTCTTCCTCGAAAACACGAACATAAATTGGGCTTAACGCTCCTTTTGTTTTCTATATGCACCTTGGCCTATGGCGTTTTTGCCCTGTGGCCCGCAGGGCGGATAAGTGCGCAACACAATAAAACCAGTAGAGGTCCAGTTTCACTTCCCAGCTCTCCAGAGTTGGGCGAGTTTTAATCTCAAAACTCCCACTCGGCAGCCTCCTCCCGGCTGGCGGCCTTCTCCAAGCGGTGGATTATGTTGTTCAAGTTTGCGGCTTTCTTTTTCCTCAAGGAGCTGTCTCGTGTGCTCCTGGAGCTCGCTGCCTCGGAGAAGCTGAACAAGCTCTGCAGAGAGTTGGCTTTCTGCGAGCCTGCGCCCGGCGTCGAACTCGTACTTGGCACGCTGGAGCTTTTCTCTGAACTCTCCTTTGACTTGTAGGAGCTCTCCCCTGTAAGGACTGAGGTGGAGGCAGCTGAGGTAGAGGCATCCCCTTCCGTGGCGGAGCCGGGCGGCGTCTCCGGAGCTTCTCCCGCATGCTGACACCCGGCCGGAGAGCCCTGGCGCGGCGCTCTGGGCCTGCCCTCGTCGTCGGTGTCCTCCAGGCCCTCGGCCGCCATGAGCAGCGGCTCCGCTCGCTCCGTGGGCCGGGCGCCCGGCGCTGCCTCTTCCCCCGCCTCCAGAGCCGACTCCGCTTGCCCTCCCTGAGACTTTGTGGTTGCATTGCTGTACTCGTCCGCCTCCGCGCCGCTCGGCTTTCCTTCAGGTGGGCCCTCCGCGTCCACGCCGTCGCAGCTGTCTCCCTCCGAGCTGTGGGCTGCTCTGCTGCTTCGTGCCGAAGGAGAATCGCTCGACCCGGCCTGGCTCTGGCTTCCCGCTTGGATCTCCTCGATGAACAGCTCCCGGCGGATGCGAGACCTGGGGGGACAGACAAAAGGGGTGAGAGCTGCCACGCAGCAGGCTCCTTCCCAGAGAGCCAACAGCAGCAACCCATGTGTGTCGGCTGCAGGACAGCCGGGGCGGTGGGAGGGCTGCACGCTCCAATTCAAAAGACTGGCAAAATTGGGAAAAACATATCGTCAAGATGTTCTTAATTTCATTCATCCCCGGCCACACACCCACTTCTAAGGCTGCTGTGCAAGGAGGGACCCAGGCTGCAACATGCAGCTCTTGCAAAGCGCAGTGGGAGGGAGGTTGGTGGAACCCACAGCTTTCAGCGCAGCAGCTCTGCAGGTCACCTGCCCAGTGCCTGGTCACTGAGAACGACCTGTACACCACCAGGGAATTGCTGAGCTGGAAGGGAACTCTGTGATCACCTGGCCCGACCCCCCGCACTGCGCAGGGACACCCACAGCTCCAGCAGGTGCTCAGAGCTCCATCCAGCCTGACCTGCTTTCCAACCAGCCCGTTTATTTTACCAGCCAGCCCTTCTAATAACCACAGCAGGCACTGCGGAACAAAGCAGAGATGTAATGTTTTTTTGTAGATGATAATCAATTGGTAATAATACGATTGGTGAAAAACAACCTAAGAATTTTTTCTTTATGATTTTAAATCAAGTTACATTCATAATTTCGTGCCATATTTTTACAGCACTGAATGCAGTTTCATGGACAGAGATGAAAGGCTCTGCAGTCTCTCATTCTCACTGGAAGTCTGACATCAGGAACATGAACATTTACAATACGCTGGACCACAAAAGGGATGATTTTAAAACTATGAATACGTTTCTAGTAGATCCAAAGGAAAATAGCTTATAAATACCAAAGAATTCAGACTTCTCTAAAAATGAGACACAATTTGTTTAAACATAAAAGTAATGAGGAAAAAATCGGGGGAAAAACAGCCACCAAGGAGAAAGCAAGATGAAAGTCCGTCGTTCTGAAATCCCTCCGGGGAAGCACAGCCTTGTGACAGGCTGTCAGTCTAACAGCTAGTCTGACTTCTGTCTTATTTTTTATTCAAAAAATCGATTTCAGAACATGAATAGTGACAAGGCAAGCAGTGCATTTCAAGGGAATTAATGCACTCCACACGTGGCTGAAACGGCCTGGTGTTCCACCCCGTGCCTCCTGTTACTGGAAGCATGTAATAATCCCCCAAACACTGCCTAGGCCACCAGCAGGAAAGCTTATGACCACTGGTCAGGTCCCAGTTTGCAACCAAGAGGGAACCACCATGACCTCTGATAAGAGATGAGAGCACAGACCAGCAGAACTTTATCTTTCACTTTTGGTTTTTACCAAGAAGATCTGCTAAGGGTCCTGGCAAATCACAAGTGAAACTCCGTCCCACAGATGGCTCTAAGAATTTTCAGTTTATTGCTCATCTTGCCTCCAAAGGCAGCACGTGATGGAAAGAAAATGCAATGAATGCAAACACAACTGAGTACTGCTTTTGAAGCTAATGATATTATTGACTTACTTGAAATGCAAGAGAGTATTTCAGCACTACTTGCTGACTCCACACTTCTGAAGGATTTAGAGGGTCTGTAATTTTCCCTAAGAGAATATTTTTCACCTAACAGAAGACCACAGGTGCTAGCATTAATTTTCTACTACCACCAGTTGCGTGCATTCTGGAACATCAATTTTCACGTGCTCTTCACACCCATAACCTCCCTGCATGGACAGAGATACAGAACATGCTGCATCTGTGACATTTCCCAAGTCAGGAGAGGAAAGAGTAAGAGCTTCCTGCCTGCACAGGTTTTGAAATACCTCAGCTCCAGCAGGACAGAGAATGACAACATGCTCACTGAATACCTGACCACAATCCTATAGAACACAGGTTCAAAGTCTGTGGAATTCACACCCCATGCATTGCTCCTGGAATCTCATCTGGCTCCAGATTAACTTAGTATTAAATCTATTAAATCCCTATGGTGCTGTCCTTGACAACAACACATTCTGTTGGCGTTCATCAGTGTAACTCAAAATATCAGAGATCTCTGTGCCAGTGCCCCCATGTGAAGATGGATAGCAATTCCCACCTCCTGCTCTCTTTTGCAGCTCCTAAGACAACAGAGCATCAGACTCTGATTACAGGGCTTCACTAATGCAAGTCTTAATTCAAGGTATATTCTTATTTTTGCTGTTCCCAGAGCTCTGCAGTTGGTATAGATGCAAAGCAGAATTCTGGAACAAGTTTGCAAACACAGCAAAATCCCTTATACCTATTTATTTCTATTTTGAAGTGAATTACTCCTTTGCCTGCTGAGGACTTTTTTTTGAAGTTTCTTCTGCTGTGGCAAATAAATGCTACTGCTGACTTCCCACCTGGTAGGCAAAAAGCCAGATTCTGTTGTAGCAGCCATCTCTGGAAAGTGAGTGTTGAGCTGAATCCCAAAGGAAGCATCACTGCAACCACATTCCCAAGAGACAGCAAGACTAATGTGTCCTAATCTGTCCCTCCCTGAAAAAATGTTCTTTAAGGAAAAACTAATGTTACAGAACAGCTAGATGGTCCGAGGTGTGGAACTGCTTCTGTATGAAGGCTCTTCAGTGTAAAAAGAAGAGGGAGGAGAATAAAGGAGATAAACAAAATCGTATGGCCTGAAGAAGAGGAAAAGTCTCTCAATTAGTGGTAACACATGAGCTGCAGAACAGGAAGATTCTGTTCCCTAGGAGAACTCCTAAACTGCATTTTTTGGTGACGTCCTGCAAATGTTTTAGGAGTACTTCATGCATGAAAGCTAAGAAGGTTACTGTTGAAGGAATGGAACAGGCACATGATTTGATTTTCAGTGCTGCTCCAAACAGGCTCGCAGCTTCTCTTTAAAGTCCTACGGACTCAGCAGCAGCACATCTGGGAACAGGTCCAGACCACTCTGTGCTGTGAAGCTCGTGCTACCCACCAGCTTACAGCACCTTGTTGATGCATTTTTCTTTTGTATACAACTGTCAGCACCGACGTACGGCCTGGTGTGGCCAAACACGCCGATCAATCATGACTTGTCACGCTTTCTCACAGCACGCCTGAACAGGAGATCTGATGATAATGAGGAAGATGACACATGCCACCAGTGCTCCCGCACTCATCTGCCTAAGTGAGAACAGCACATTTTGCTGTCAGGCCGAAGGGAACATATTTTCATAGGCATTCCTCCAACTTGTGTATAATTGCCTAGAAGTGGGAACTGGAATAGAGGCCTGTATTTGGAGAACTGAGCAGTGAAAGAGGCTGCATCTGTAGCGAATTCAAGTCAATGAAATTCAGTGTAAATATGATTACTGGCTGGTTATAATTTTTAAATTTTATATTGTTTACTATAAACATTATTTTACTATTGTACATAATATTTCTGAGATATCTCATTAAACCGTGCTTCTTCTGCTTCAGCAACTTGCCTGTGAAAAGCTGAGAAGGGCTAAAGTGGAAAATACCCTTTAAATGTTAGCAGTTTTCTAAAAACAAACAAGTTTAGCAAGCCGCTGTTAGAATAATTAGGAACATTACTGGCTCCGAGTGAAGGAGCAGAATGGCATTAAATCTGGTGTCTTAACTGTACCTGTTTAATATTCATTAGAACAAATTCTTGGAGAAAAGTCTGCTGCACTAATTAAGATTCCCAATCCTAAACACAGCTGAAAATACGTTTATCCAAATCCTTCTAATTCTTACACGCCATTCCAGCATTGTTTCTTTTTATTGGAGTCTCTAGGCCAAAACCTCCTTCAATTCTCCAAATGTGGAGAAGGTTCCCTTTAATAAGAAAAAGGAACTGAACAGCCCAACATCAAATTTCATCTCACCAGCACTCAATGATTTAATCATAATAATGAAATAAGTCTGTGGCAACATGTGACTTCAGGTTATCAGTTCTCTGTCCTTTGTGACTGCAGAGCTTCCAGCACGCATCATATCTATTTTATGAGCTCAGTGACCCAAGACATAGAAGAAAACCTATTTTTTGCTGTTATTCTGCAAAGATGCATGATGAAGCACTGTAATTCTGATGCCATCCAGTAGAGGACACTTCTAAGCAATCCCTACCAAGGTATAAAATGTACAACACACACCTATGTGTGCATACATGTGAGCATGTCTGTTTATGCATATGCAAGTAAAGAAGACCAGCCTTGCTTACTGCAACAGGCTTTATAAATATTCAGCACAGCAGTGGACATCTCTAGATCAATGCCCATCCCAAAAGCAAGACTTTCTGCCTAAAAGCTCTGCTTACATCAGTATGTGAAGATTGCTCATCCTCAGGGATGACTTAAAATTAGGCTGGAGCATTGGCACTGCAGTTAGTCAGAACCTCCCCGCTGTCGAAACCGTTCACTTTGTACAACCACTAAACGCTAGCAGAACACAACGTGCTGCAAGAAAGCAGCACCCGGCCAAAGCAAATAAAATAAATCCTTTATGAGGGGGAGACCTCCTACCTGTAATTGTGGAACCAGTTGATCACGGTGCTGGTTTTCAAGTTGAGCTGCGTAGCCAGTTCCTCAATGGTTTTTGGTGATGGGTATGGCTTTTGCTGGTAGGCTCGTTTCAGAGCTTCCTTCTCTTCTGGTGCCAGCACCACCCGGGGCTTCTTCAGCTGGTGCTGTGGCTGTGGGCTGGCACCCTGGCTGTAGTCGATTCCAGTGGAGGAGGACTCACACGACTGACTGTCGCTCACAGAGCTGTGTCGCCGCTTCATGTAGGCTGAAAGAGAGGCACACGGGATCAGCCCCGGCTGAATACAAATGCAAAATCAATGAACGTACAAGCTGCGGGATAAACGCGGAGGTGACAGGCTGAGGCTGCACGGATGGGCTGTGCGGGGGGAACAGGAGGGAAGCAATTGTGGGGAAGATGCAAGAGACAGAAAAACAAGATAGAAGGAAAGGAAAGAGGGTGAATCGACTGGAAACGTGCCTGGGTTTTCTGCTCTTTCAGTGGATATGGGATGTGAGTAACAGTGGTCAGATAGCAGGATGTGCTTTAAATTCGCAATTTCAGGGGTGATGAACTTCCACATAAGCACCATCATAGCACAGCTACTAAGAGCCTAAACGGCTCTGGTTGTTAAACACAAGGGTTTCTCTAACACTTCAGGTCTCTCAGTCAGCACAGTGGGAGCTGCAGGCAGCCAGAGCTCCATCTCCAACACACGATGGCGCCCGGAGCCCAGGCATCCCAGCGAGGGGCTGCGCACCCACCCGCCGTTTGCTGCTTTCTCTTCCACATTTTTGCTACAGCAGTGACAGGTTATGAAAGGAAAACAGCCCACAGCATCCTCCTCCCCTATACAAGGCTCTTTTAAAGATGCCTGTACTTGTAATAACTCTTGCTGCGCTGCTGCAGCTCTGGGGCTGTGAGCCACCGCCAACTCCTCCCCAACAGGGACTGAATTATCCTGAAAAATCCTGCAAGGAGAGTCCCAGCAAATGCTGTCACCGTCTTGATGGATTTACACTGGGCAAAGGCAGGTGGGATTTACTGTACCTGGCAGCACCATGCACAAGCATTGCTAATGAGGAGGTTGAAAACTGCAGGTATAGACGAATCTTGTGAATAAAATATTTAATGCTCCGTTAAATACCTTCTAGATATTGAAGAGTTTAGGTATTCAGGAGCTGCAATTTGATAACCTTGCCTACTCTGTTCCAGCTTACAGCAGCCCGACATCAATCAGGCAGGCAGTAAATCTCCAGTAGGCAGTAGCACTGATTGGAGCCAGGGAGCAATGCAGGGCAGGTCACGCCGGCCAGAAACCAAATTATTCAAAAGAAAAAAATAAATTCTTTCTCTGCACAGCTCTGCCTTTAGATTGAGGGTGCACAAAAAAGGGAAATCCGATGCAATCAAACCAACTGAAATGCTGAGAGCCTTTCTCATGCACGCCAACCCTGAAGGTCTGGCGAGGCCTTCTGCCTCCAGTGGGTACCACCATCCTGTCCTCTACACAGAGCTGTGTCCACTGCGACCTTTTTACACAGCGTCTTACTTTTGTTGAAGCGAATTTTGAATGTGCTCTGTAACCTTTGGGGGTATCTGCATGGCCCTCACTTTGTTCTTTCGGAATATGACAGATTACCTGTGGATTGCCTACTGTGTAAGATCACTGATACGGAACAGAGCGTGAGTTGCTAATGATCCATCACTCTGCCATGATGCCGTGCTGCGTCTGCTTGAAGTAACTATTAAAAAAAAATTTTTTTGTTTCCTTTTTTATTATTATTTTTCAACAAACTTCATTAAAAATCACCTACTTAAGTTGTTCCACTCACTGTGAAGTGATTGCAGGTACACTTAATGCCTTCGATTTCAAAGACTCCCAGATGTTGTTCCAAACTTGTATTGATATGCAAACTATACACAAGGTTCCCTTGTCTACTTTGACAACACAACCAAAAGAGCCTCTACTCCTTCAGCAGCGTGCAGCAACTTAAGGGAGGCCATGAGACAAAACAGACCCTGGTGTGGAAGATGTCAGAATCGTGCAGGCTATCTCCAGCTGGAGGTGCTGCAGTTTGGTCAGGTATTGGTACGTTCTGCATCTCTCCCTGCCCTCCAAAGGATGGCATTTACAGCAGCTCAGAGCTCCCAGGAAGGCTCCTAAAGACAGCACACAGCTGTGACAGCTCGGGAAGAACGCCATGTCCTGCGCCTACCTCTGTGCTCATAACCTCACTACAGGTGCAAAGATTTATTTGGGTTTCTTGTGTGAATGGAACCAGTTTTACAATTGTACATATTTCACAGAATCATAGAACGGCCTGGGTTGAAAAGGATCACAGTGATCATCTGGTTTCAACCCCCCCACCACGGGCAGAACTGCCAACCACCAGACCAGGCTGCCCAGAGCCTCTAACATAAAAAGAAAGAAAAGGAAATCCCACAGTTAGGACGTAACCATTTCTGGAGAACAATACATTATTAGAACAAACAGAATCACACAATCATTAAGGTTGGAAAAGACCTCTAAGATCATCAAGTCCAACCCCAACCCAGGCCACGATGCCCACTGACCATATCCCTCAGTGCCACATCTCCCATGGTCTTGAACACCTCCAGTGTCTTCCAATGGGCCAGAGGCACAAACCTGGCACGAGGCCACATGCTGAACTAGTATTTAGGTTTTAGCAAAGTTCTCTGGAAACTTTATAACAGCTTTTCCTTTTTAGTTCTGATTTTAAACGTATGCGTTGTGTGTAGCCAACATCAGGAGATCACTGAGCACATTTCCAGCAAACAGTGAGGCTCAAGCTGCAATCCAAATTGCAAACACACCTGATGTTTGAAGACATTTGATTTTGGTGTGTAATTGGTCTCTACTTTTCAGGAGACTAAAGAAAAAAAACCACACGCATTATTTGGGCAAAGGTCTGGATGTGAGTCTGAGATCAACCTGTCAGGGCCAGCTCCATCTGCTCAGTTTTACTACCTCTGTCTTCCCCCTGCTGTTGCCAGCCCAGCATCCCTGTGCTCCTACGGGCAGACTCCCCAGCATGTGCTCAGCCTCAGATGAAGCAGAGCTAGCAGCTGCCCACTGAGGTAAAACAGAGCCCCTTTTAATACAATTTTTATCTTATGCAGTATTGAACAAGATTATTAAAAAGTGAAATAATGGGGAAATAAAGGGAATTAAATTTTCTCCTGACAGCAGGCTTCAGTACTGTTCAGTGAGGAGTGTGACGTTACCAGCAGCACACACACCAGGAGGTTGGAGGGAAGGGAACGAACTCCTCCTTGGCAGAAAACACAGTGCAGAGTGTCTCAGCCTAGTGAGCGTGACCCCCAGCTTCCTCCATGAAGTTACTTAATGTACATTGCAAAGCTTCAGAATCTCTTACAAAGGGGCATTTATGGCATAAATGTCAGACTGGCACAACAGGAGGAAAAAAAGGAGAGATGTGCAGCTCAGCTTTATCATAATTATCAATCTAGTCTCCTAATAAACTGTGGAAGAGAAATAATTGATAATAATGTTCTACTGGTAGCAGATACAGTTGCATTGTTCTTTAATCGACATTAGCTTAAGGGGAAGTTAAATTCTTCATGTGGCTCTGGTGTGATTTGAAAGGTTACATCGCAGGATCCTTACCTGCAAGAAAAGGATTTTGCAGAAAATAAAGGGCTGAATTCACTGCAGAGTGCTCTGCAATGAGGCCAGCACTGACACAGTTCAGGAGCTCAGCACAGAGACTCAGATGATTTATAGCCCTCCCTCTGTTCAGGTGCCATCTACACAGCATATGTATTGCACAGCATTTGATAAGAATCCACTTTAGAAAACAGTTCTGAAAGGATATTGTCAGTACTACTTTCAAATTATTTTTATTTTATTTTCCTGCGTTACGGCTGAAACCCTCTTGGAGGCTATAAAAATCCACCCAGTTGACAATTTTATCTCTGCTGTATTTCTGATGCAGCAAAAACCATCATGGCTCCCTCTCCTTTACAACTGGAAGTGGGAAACCCCTCTGGATCACTCTCCCAGTGGCAGATTACACACAGCTTCAGGTGAGATCCTGCCCTGCACGTATCACACTGGTTTCTGTAACGAGGATTTGAATTTCTTCCCAGAAGCACACAAGGTCACTTTTTCCCAGAACCTCCTTGACTGTAATTTTTAATATAATCCCAAAGTTCTTGATCAAACGTGTTAATGTTTTCAGGACATCAGTCAACAGCAGTGCTTTCAGTGCACACGATTAATGCTGTCTGAGCTAATATCATTAAGGGATACCTTGAGAGATGGATACATCATTAATCAGTTAACTGCTGGTAATGGCAGCCTATGAGCTTCTCTTTTAAAATCGCATGTATGTACCAAAACCAGGCTCTGGATAACTGCTGTTTTCTAGTAATGAATTTAAGATACACAGAGTAGGCTGAGATTAGTCAGATGTGCTCCTCATAGGAGAGCAAAATAAGTTAATCTCTCACAGGTGTGTGCTCATGACACAGCCGCTCTACTCAAGCACATCTGAGCACTGTCACCTTCCCCACCCCTATGAGGGCCACAGATCTTATTATTCTCAAACACCCTTTTATAAGTGCTGCATTTTTGTATCCTCTTAGTGGCCATCCATGCAGGACTGGCAAGAAGCTCTCTCAGGAATCAAAGCATGGTTTTCAGCGCAACATCTGTGAGCAGCTGCAGTGCCATTAAGTAACAACCCAAAGCCAGCTCCCCAACTCACATTTCTCATTTGCTAAGGCAAGTTATCAGTGATACACTAGGGCCTCAGTAATTAATCTATAGGAGAATACAGCAATGAATTCATGACAGCTGGTGAATGGTTAGGGTTGTTTTTTTTTTTTGTTTTTTTGTTTTGTTTGTTTCTGAGATGTATCTGCTTGAGCTTGCATCAAATAAAGCTAAGAAAAAGCTGTCTGAGCGCCCTTCATATTGCTGGATCCATGTTGCCTCTATGCTCTTTACGGAGAGTTACACAACACAGTCATCTCTGAAACAAAGGAGAGCATGACTCAGCATCCTGCTCCACGTTACCTTTTTTCTCCATTCGCTTCATATCCATCAGCTTCTCCACGTTGTTGGGATCGTTCAGCCACAGCTGCATGCGGACAAAGGGCTCCCGGCCCTTCAGACTCAGCTTGTGCCAGGGCTTCGGGCGAGCCAGCAGGTCTGAGACAGAGCCTTGTGTCAGCCCCAGGATTGTCTCCCCAAACAAACGCTGACCTAATACGAAATTGAAAATGGCATGAATTCACTAAGAGACAAGGCAAGCTAAAAAGACAGACCACATCTACAAGATCATTCATCAATTATTCTTACTTCAGAATTGCTTGCAAACCCGAAAGAAAGATTGAGAAGCATAAAAGCTCTCCCCACCCACTAAAGGTGTAAATATTGAGCTTTAATTTAATCCTTAAGATCTGGCATGACAAGGATGTGAACTCAACACCTCTGGGGATAAGGACCTCACAGTGGAAACAGTGTGCAAAACAACCCCCAAATTAATGAGATTAAAAATAAACCAAACTTTTGGCTCAGCAGGCAACCAGTGAGAGCAGTGAGGCTACTCAGCTCTTATGCAGGAGGTGCTGCAACAGCTTTGTTCCAGCAGGGCAATCCGAACATTTCAAGCTATCAGTGAACCAAAACCAATGCAGCACCCATTCGGCAACAGCCATCTAAATGTCCTCAAAGGCATGTAAATGTTTTCTGTCTTGTACTGGCTGTTGTGCTCTAACAGTGTTTTAGTGGCTGTGGATAATCACATTTTACAATATAACAGTTTTTCCTGTTTCTACAGCTTCTACAGTGCTTCTGGTTAATCATTACTTTTACTTCTTTTAAAATGCCATTGCCTAGCAGGGTAAAAACTAAAAATGGTTTTCAGTGTGAGGCATTTGTAAGCACATTAATAACACTGGTTTTACATGCTTAAGATCTCACTTACTGAGGACTGGAAAATGCCTGTGCAGCACAAGCCCAAACAGACAGCTGGTTTCCTAACAGCCTTCTCTTCAGCATTTTCCCTAAGCTAAGTTGCCCTAATACGCAACAGCTTTTGTTACAAGACAGAGCCTGGAGTCATCTGAGTCACTGCTGGGTACTTCTGGTGGAAGTGAGGCTATCGCAGGCTTGCAAGTTAACCCAAACATCTTCCTGTCCCATTCAAGTTGAGGCCTTGAGGTCTGGTGTCTGATCACTGGTTTCTGAACCCCTCACTCCAGCAGAAAGCAGTATCTACTTGCCAGCAGTGCCAGCAATATCAGCCAGTGGCAACCAGCAGATCCTGGGGGAAAGTAAAGGACCAACGAAAATATCAGGTCCACAGAGCCCTCCCTGTGCCGGACTCCACGATCTCCCTCTGCTTTACACCTCCCCCAAGCCTCCTGTCTTCGTGAGTTCTTTACTTCACAGGCTAAGTGGGAAGGAGGGAACAGGCAGGAGCTGCAGCACAGCCCATGAGGATGGACTGGGGCAAGGCTTTGGAAGGCAGCAGCTGGGACCACGAAAGGTGCACAGGGAAGCAAGGACAGGGTTCAGAAGTGTCTGCTCACACCTCCAGAACAAACCCTCAAAATGGATCTTACGGACTGAACAGAAACCAAAGATCAGAACTTAATTTCCTCAGTGTCTTTCAACTTTCAACTCAGCAACAGGAAAATGAGAAAAAAAGCTGCAATTCAGGGCTAATTTTACATCATTTCAGAGTTAACGTGCTCTCTCCCTTTACATTTAAAAAAAAAAATAAAAATCAGGAAGAACCCATCAATTTACCTTTAAAAGAGCTACTTTTGAGCCAAGACAGCTGCTTTAAACACCTTTTAATCTGCCTCTGCAAATGACTTCCCTCTGGCATTCCCACGCTCCCTAAGCCCACACTCAGGCACCGGCATGGGCACTGCAACCCATGCAGAGCTGTGCAGTCAGTGGGACCTGACGTGGGTCACAGCAGCCCCCCAGGAGTGTCATGGCCACCTGTGACCCAGGCAGCTGCTATGGTTTGCTGTACAGCCACCGGGAGGGAATGCTGGAACATAAACAAGGCAGGGATGAGCATCCCAGGGAAGGTACGAGCAATGCTGCTGAAGGAAATGACCTTCAGATCATAGCCTAGAAATTAAAAATCCAAGGGAGGAGAGAACATTGGATTCTTTGGGTGCTAAGGAAGAAGCTCAATATGTTTGTGTCACTTACTGTATCCTAGGATACAGCAGAACAGCATAAAACACCTGAAAGGCTCCTGAGCTAACGGAGAATATGTTAGAAACCATTCTCAGGAGGCAGCAGGTGCACCATACTCCATCTTCATCAGTGTTATTAATAACCTAAGTGTTCTTAAGCACGGGCTTCCTGAAACTTCTGTTAATTCTGTCTTTTTGTCTACTGCCTTTCCCACTGATGTAGCTCCTCACGGATGCAACCTCCTGCCTATTATGCCAGCTTCAGGGCTAGTCCTGGACCTCTCTGCAACATTCTGCAACACAGTGGGCATGGTGGTGATGGGCTGATGGTTGGACTTGGTGATCTTGCAGGTCTTTTCCAACCTTAATGGCTCTATCATCCTATGATTCCCAATACTGCAATCTTCCAGCAGCTCACTGCACTCACTTCCCTTGCTATCTAAGCTGGATGTTGCCCAATAGGAAATCACTGATAACATGATCTTGGGGCTGAGAGGACTAGCAGCATCCCAGTGTTAATGCTGTATCATCATTTGCTAAAACGGTGTCTGCTGCTTCAAGTGAATGCTTAAAAATGAATGCTTAAAAACCATGGGATGGGAGACCCACCAAACTCAAGTCTGGTTTGCTGAGCCACCCTGAATGGTTTCACACAGTCGTGGTCTTTAGTGGCCAGTGGTGCTGGAACTGGGCCACCAGCAGTTGCCTAAGACAGGTTGGCCCTGTGGCCTGAGACACAGAAAGCTGTGCACCAAGTCAATGTGGTGCAGCAGCACACTGAGGGCACAAAAGGAGACATTGAAACTGGTTCCACACCTAATGCAGAGTTTGGGGCACATTTCCTGGCTCTTCTGCTGCTTTTTAGGCTTGTCAGCCACACTGTAGGAAAACAAAAATCATGGGAAATAAAAAAGACTAAGTAAAAAAGGCATCAAAGCAAATGTAAACAAAAATACTTTTTCAAACCTCCCTGGAACACCAGAGCAGGCACAGCACTCAACAGTATTTTGTTCAAAAAGCAGAGGCTTAGGCCTGCAAACTCTTACCTGGGGCTTTGTCTGGTACATAACTCCACTGAACAAGCCTATCCCCATGTGAATGAGCAGTCATTCTGCTGGGTTGAGTGGAACACACACTCATGCAGGGTATGCCCAGTATCAGGGCCTATTTTTTTTTGTCTTCCCCAATTACATTTAATGACAATTTGCAACCTCCCCCACCCTAGTAAAATCTAGAACAACAACACCTTGTATTCTGTGTCTAGCCAAAAAAAGGCTTCTTTATGTACTAAAATAGTTTTTAGTGACACAGACATCATGCTCAGATGACATGGATGTAATCCTTCTGATAGAAATATCAGTAATCAAAACCTAAACTTATCTTTTAGGTTATACTTGAACAGGGGGAGACTGGCATGTATGGAGAGAGATTCCTCTCCACCGTCTCAGACATCTCTTCTGAATCTCTCCATGCAGGTGGGAAGGATACATGCTAAGCACTAATGAACGTGCAGGTAACGCTGGTGCAACCTGCCTGCCTTCCAGCCAGGAATTTCAGAGGACTCCTTCAAGCTTCCCAGTGGCTTGTGAGGGAAGCAGTTGTTAAACAGGTATAAAGAAGTAGGGATTCAGAGGCACTGTGGCAGTATTAAGCGTGGATTTTACCTGCTCACGTGTGTTACTTCCTCTGACTATTCCAAATATTGCCAGTCATATCAATATTGCACTTAATTTGATACCCAAAACCTCATCTGCAGCAAAAGCAGCCTTTGCTTTGCATGTCTCAAAGCAGAACAACTGAATGACCCCATGCAGTTACCTAAGGATTCACATACACCTCAACTGAGTCTGCATTTACCCTCCTAGCTCTAAGGCACACTACTTCCATGTGATGCTCCTCTCTTGGCAATCACACTGCCCTCCTCTGCTCCTCTTCTCTGCCTGCCCTGCTGGTGTCCTGAACCTACAAGCATGGGGAAATCTGCATTTCTCCAGTGGAGACCTCACTGGTTTTGGGGTTTTGGTCCTCTCGACAGCCTGCTGGCCTGTATTTAGGGAGGTGGGACTGGTACCTGGCTGCTGAGCCAGAACCAGAGCTTAAGGGCAGTGAGGGTAAGGGAACATATTGTTAAGTAGATGTGACAATCCAGAAGGACTTCTTTACTGGCTAAAAAAAGAATCTTTGAAGGATGAAAGCCCAGGCCAGAGTCAAAATCAAATGTTCTTGTCAAACCATCTACTAAAATACAGCTTAAAAACAACAGCACCAACACTTTATTTCAACCAAGAAATGGGAATAAAGCGACTTACCAAGATTGTTGTCCGTTAGCACTTCCTTGACCCTTTTTGTGATGCCATACGTATCCAGCTCTGGGGACATAGCAACCAGCTCCTGGATGCTGAGTGCTGAGTGGCCCGACAGTGGCAAAGGGGTTGTGGACTGGGATTCGGAAGCAGGCGGCTCGCTGGGCTCCTGGGATTTGCCATCCTTACTGGTCTCTATAGAAGGACAGGGCTGCTGTACCAATTCTGTCAGGCTTTTTACCGATTCGCTGGAACTCATGGGAGATTCGGGAGCAGGACTGCAACTGGCAGAAGTCTTTGGAGTGCTTTCTGTAATTGAAAAGAAGAAAGAAGCCCCCGCTTTAGAATAATTGTGATGTTTTGATCGCAGGCTATTTAACTTTCCTTCTCCTTTATATCCTACCTACTTAAAGAAATGCCTAAGTATGCAAAACACTTTTCCTTACAACTTGGTTACTGAAAAGCCTTTTTTTTCAAAACAGAATTATTTTCTTAGTTTATCTTCAGTAATCTTTTCTTTCGTATAAAAACAAGAATATACAAATAAAAATCAGGAATAAATGAAGTGCAATGGTTTGTATGGTTGCAAGGAATTCCCTTGGTCAGGAAATTTTCTGGCTTTGCTTTCACAACACTGCTGTCTAACAGCACTCTGTAATACACAATTACAGAGGTTTAACCTCTTTCTGTGACTATAAGAAAATCACCACAATGTGGTCGTGTTCACGGGGGATTTTCTACAAGTGACACAGCTTTGTATCTTGAGAGCGTTATAGATTTCATATTGTTTCTTATCACTCACATCACATTTTTGCACCTCTCATGGCCCAGGAATAACTTAACACAATTAAAATACGGCTTGCAATGATGTCGTATTAATTAATGTGTTTGAGAATCCAACCTAAAGATGGCGAGTGGATCAGGAGACAACCAAATCTGTTATTTTGACACTTTGAAAGAAAGCTTTTGGAATCTGTTAATTTGCCAACAACAATAGTTTCTGTGCAAAATGCTGTTTTCCCTATGTGAGCTCACAATTGTTTCCAATAAAATGCTCTTCATCATGCAGTGGCCAAGCATACCCCAAATCCTATTCTTTACAACAGGACTTCACTTAACAACAGTGTTTTCTGAGCACTGCATCACTACAGTGGCAGCCACTGCTATGAGCTGATGGTTGACACCAGATTTCACCACTTCTCACCGTCCACAACACTGCCAAATCCTCACAGTCTGCCTGGGCTCCACGGACACGCAGCTCAGGCACTATGGGAAGCACATCCTCAGCACTACAGGAAATGCTGGGTAAGTTCAAGTAGGGTTCACTCGGCGCAGGGTTCGCAGCACAATCGTGTTGTTCAAGGCAACAGAAGCTTCCAGGACTCCGTAATTTAAGAGAGGCTCCCTGACACACTTACAGAAAGTTGTCTCTCAAACACAGAGCTTTTACTTAGCGCTCTGTGAGAGATGCAAAACAGGCAGGCATAAAGGGAAAGCGAGGTGCATATAAATCTTTAAGGCAAGAGGGATCTTGCAAATCTTATTTCTTCTCTCTGTTCACCCCGGGTCATCATACAACCGAATGTAAAACCCAGCAAATGTTATTTTTGTATCGAGAGCAGCAAAGGAATTGTACTGTAAATTCGCCCTGATTCACCCATGCGAGGGACCAATTTGGCAGATCATCCATCTTGTTCACTGTACACTGTCAGGGATGGCATGAATTCCCTACATGATAAACAGATTTCTTCTCAGGTCTGCGTCCTTTAACCCACAGCAAGGTCAAAATTATGGCTGCCTGGCTAATAAACAGCGCGCCACTCGCTCAACTTCCCTCTAATTTTGTCCCTTGTGCCAGCTTACACAAATCTTACTGAATAACTAGAGCAGCTGCAAATTTCCTATACAATTCCTCATCCGTGCGCCGCAAAGCACACGCAAGCACGGAGTGCAGAAAAATCCCAAATAAAAAACCACCCAACAGCCATGCAGGAGTCAACAAAGCGTTCTGTAATGCCTCCTCCTCCCTCTCCTTCCCTGCCCAGCCTAATTATGTAAACAACAGAGGTAATCTCTGCCATCATCTATCACTGCGATGCTCGATGTTGCTCACATATTAGCTTATTTATTTTTTATATCACATATCAAGAGCTTGCTTGAATTTCATTTTTAAGACCAATCTGCTGCTTATTTACTCAAAAAGGTAGGATTATGTGGGTCTAATTTTGGAAGGCAGTACAGATGACAAAGTGTTTTTTTCCTCCCAACGAAAGGCAAGTGCAGAATGGTTCCAATGAGACATTATGTGCATAAACCACAAATAACTCCAAATATGTTCTCCGTTCACTTCTGGAGCTTTTCCATTTTGGAAAAAAAAAAAAAACATTTTAAATGTGACACAAACATTGGAGGAAAAGGACCATTATTTGGAAAAGCCAATTCCATAATCGAATAATGCAAACATTTCCTGTTAACCTATTAAAAAATTAAGTAGACATTTAAAGTAGAAGTGATTGCCGACAGAACAAAGGGAAAATTGGATGTGTTCACTACTACAAATTAAACTGTCAATCTACAGTCATTTCAGATGTTTTACGAAATAATTTGTCTGTATTCATTTCTCCCAACTTCCTCACAGGACAACGAAACAAATTCAGGACGTGTGAAAAATACACACCGAGCTTTCAAAATCAAACATTTCTGATCACAATTTCTTTACATCCTGTTCTGTTTCCCACACCTCACCAGAAAACAGCCCTAATTTAAGGATGACCCAGATCATAGGTGAGCCATTCCCTGCATTTGTACAGCTCTCCCCATGCTGCCTTGGAGGAATGATTTTGTCTGTCAGGGCCCAAGGATGGCAACGAGACGCAGTTCAACAAGGGCAGTTAAAACGATCAAGAGCCTGTTGTAACTTTTGCATATCTTCAGGTTGATACTGACAAGTGCCATTAAAGACTCAAATGCCCCACAGATGCAGTTAGGTGATGCAAATCTTCTAAAGCTGCAACCCAGTCATGGAAGGCCAAAGCCATGTCCTTCTTATGTTACTCATTCAGAATTCATTTTTGGGTATAGGGAAGTCAGGCTTTACCAAGCCGTTCTTAAAAGCACATCTGTATGTGCAAATAAACAACAATCAGATGCAGATCAAGGACTGGGAGCTGACATCCAGCATCAGAAACACTTGACAAGAGTGACTGGCCTCCATCCATAGCGAAATCAGAACAACTACTGGACACCGACACCAAGGATGGGGTGCTGATGGGAACCTTCAGGGCTCTGAAGGCAAGTATGTCTTCATGAAGAGAAACACATCTGATTTAGTTTGGGGGAACCAACGTGCATTAGTTAGGCAGACAGCACTGCTGGTAAAACATACAATCCTTATTCTCATGTCAGGAAGTTCTTCACTTTTGTTTTTTCCTACTATAGCCCCAGAGAGGGACATAGAATCTAAAATAAAGGTAAATGAATGACTAGAAAGAAGGTCAGCATGATACAAACACCTCCCAATTTTGTTTTCTTTCTAAACACTACTTTCCAAATATAAAATTGCTTCTTGAATAACCATCCTACTGCAACAAAACCCAGCACCATATTACAGCTTGCCCATCTGCTTCATCCCTATCAGGAAACTGCACACAATTCAGTGTGTATGAGCAGGGTCTGTCGGAGCTCCTTTCAGAACTGGCTGAGAACTGTAACAAACTGGCTTTGTCTTAATTATATCAATGCAAAAAATCTGGTGTGGTCTTGCATTGCTCATAGCAATAGCCTTGGTTCCATCCGTCCTCCCTGTACCTTAATTGCTTTCTATCATGATGGTGTTGGGAAAAGTGAGACAGCCTGAGACAGTCTCAGGTCATTACTTACGGTGTTTATCCAAACTTTAACATTTGATTCTCCTGTTCTTCTCCAATGACAAAATTTACCATTCTCATGCTGGGTTCAGATCTCCGGTACCAGCTCCTGAATTGCCTGAACACCGTCAATGCTTTGGACTATGATTATCCCATCAAAGCCCATCCTGGTGATGCACAGCAACTCCTCCACCTGTAGAATGCAACTTCTCCACCACAGCCTCTGCACAGAAGCAGCAGGACAGCCTGCACCCACAGCACACACGACCATACAGATATCCTGTCCTTCGTCTGCCCAGGAACTGCTGCACTGCTAACGTGAGCTTAGCTAATAGGCTTCAAAGTGACTCAGGGGAAACAAGGTATGGAGCACAGAGAAGTTGGGGAAGATCATGCGAAACGCAGAAGGTATTTAGGGACCCCTAAAAGGATTATGAAAAATACTGTATCTAAAGACAGCAGGCAGACAACAGCTGCCTTAAGTTTTGGGGAGAAATGGATTGGAAAAGCAGATCCACTGTAATTTTCAGAGACAAATCTCTGTAGTTTATCTGATCCACTATTTAAATTTCAATACAGAGTCCTCTATCTGCAGTAATAATAACCTAAATTCCATTTAGTGTTCATTTGAGCAGTCAGGATAAAGTCATTTCTTATTATCTCCCCACTGTGTAAAAAACAGCTTGAAGGTAGGAAGTCAGCAAGCATTTTCACCAAAAAGTAATTATTGTAAGTGACATTTTTACTGCTGGCATGCCATAAGGCGAACTGCGCATTTGGAAGGACAAGTTGCTAAAACAAAATGACAGGGTACTCCGTGACATTCCGACAGGAACCCAAACATGATTTATCCAGCACTCGCTTTGATGCACCGCTTCTCCCGGTGTCCGCAGCCCAGGCTCCGGGTCTGTGCCGTCCAACCCCAAGTTGTTCCCCAGGAATGGCAGGAGTGCTGATGTGCCAGGCAGGGCAGTGAGCATCCTGTGCTCTGCTCCCTTCTCCATGGCCAATTCGTACAGAAGATGAAAGCAGACAGATACAGATAGGAGATTTCTTGGCAAACTCTTGAAAGAGCATTTGATACTTCAGGGCCCGCCTTCACCTACTCGTACAGATGAGTTAATGGACAACGGCAGCCCTGGCAGGTCGCCTGAGATCCCAGTATCTCACGCTGGGACGGGGTTAAGTTCTGTTTCCCCTGTTTCCAGCCACTGAGCTGCCCACTCTGCACACCAAAAATCTCATTATTGTGTTTGCCACTATCTGGAAATCCCAGGCAGAGCTTTTGCTCCCCATCTCCCACCTCTCTGTAACCCCGGGATCTCCTAAAGCACCCAACAGCTCTTCCCATTAACAGAGCGCAGGTCTGCTCTCTAATAAATCACATCAGCATTTGTGGAGCAATGCTGCAATCCATCCCTCTTCTGACTAATTAAACAAAAA